ATTGAGTTCAAACAAAAATGCTGTTTAGTTATTTACTGTGCTTATTTATGCAAAATTGTACTTTTCCTTAAATACCGTTTGGTTTTGTGTAATTTCTGAGAAACATGTAACGTGCAAGTCCCCCCTGAGAAAATGTAATTTTTTTTTTTTTTTTTAATCAGGATGTAACAAACTTTTAGCATCCCAAAATAGAGATTTGGCGTTTTAAGGCTTCCCTTTGCTGAACGACTAAACTTGTTCAGTCATTTTTACAGACAATACAAACTGTAAAATCGTGGACATTATCTGTGCTTCTGGAAGTTTGCAACATGTTTGTAAAAAGTAGAAAAATTTAAAACTTTGGGGATTTTAAAAAAAAGCCAAACCTGTAAAACACCCAGCTCGTTTGAGCAACTTTGAAAACGTTTAATCGTAAACATCTAAAAACACTTATGTATTTTTTGTGCTCTGCTTCCTTGTATGTGTAATGCTTATCCAGACCTGGACAATAGCACAAATGACTCCATCCAAAATGAACCGCTCGCGTCTTAAAATGGCTCCGATCTTAAACATTTCAATTCAATTCAGTTGATTTATTTAGTGCCAAGTCGCAACGGAAGTCGTCTCAGGGCGCGGTAAATTTCACAGCAGGTCATGCAGGCATTTCTCAATAAACCTTCATTTTGCATTATGTGCCTATTTATTTAGAATTTGATGGTGATTTGTGAGCAGAAGCTGCAGCAGCAGCTAGCTGTAGCACACTGTAAGCAGAGGGAACGTCACAATCTTTCTGTTGGAATAATAATGTGAAATTAGCAGCGATGTGAAGATTTACAACACGGCGTTTGTGAATTATTATCATTTTTTGTCCTTTTGAAGCTGCTTAAAGATGGCAGAACCAGAATGACGGGATTCCACCATATATTTTAAATGGTCAAAATTTCACAGCTGCTCAAACAAACACAGATAATTTATTGTTTACGTTGCTGTAAATCTCGTGTGAAATTAATATTTTTATCTTCGGTGTTGTGGAATTCAAGCCAAGATGGCGGCGGGCGCACCAGAAGTGACGCTAGAACGATTTGCTCTTACAAATAAACACAGTTCGTGTCCCAACTGTGCTTTTATTTTGACAGAACGCCTACCGCTCATCCTCCACCCAAGAAACGACTCAAAGCGCCCCCAGCCTCTTCCTGCCAGTTTGACATTAGGACATTTATTTTGAAAGGATTCTAAAGTAGAAACTATGGTTACGGGTGAGCTCGGTGTTTGTCAGAATCCGAGCGTCTTGTCGTCAACTCCACGTTGGTCGAATATTCGTTTTATTTAAAATGTATATCCATTTTGGTCGTAGCTGCATTCTGCGTCTTTTGTCTTGAACTCTTGGCTGTTTAAAGAGCTATCTGCAACAGGTAAGATACTCGTTCTTTACCCTTTGCTTTATAATATTCAAAATATCCTTTAACATGATGGGCATTCCTTGCCATGTGTAGAGCCAACAAAAGCACCTTAAAGTTAATACAAGAACAAAATGTGTATAAAAAATAACGTATAGAGCAAAAAGTCACTCGTTCAGTAAATTCCTTGGCTATAAAATGTGATTGTTCTTGTTCCTGAAGTGGATTAGCTTCTGCGTGTCGCATATTAACGGGTAACAAGACGGCAAACCTTCATGCAAACCCCGTTCTGCTGCTGCTTGGAGGAAAACGAGTGTTTTAGGAGCGTAGGGGACTAACGGTCCTCTCAGGGGCAGAGCGGTTCGCTTTTTACCCATAAGCCCCGCAGAACGGTTGTGAGATGAAAGGCTTCAGGCACTGAGGTTGTGAGGTTCACGAAGCGAGGCGGAGCCGCCACCGACAGTGGAACGAAGATGCGGGTCCGTCCGTGGCGCCGGTGCGAGCACGTTTCCACTAAAGGTCCAGCTCGCTCTGAACTGAAATGCATAAAAAAAGTTTCCTCTCCGCCCGTTCCCTGAAACGAGCGAGACGCCAGCGTTCGTGTTCGGGTCCCGATCACCTCAGACTTTGCTGTCGGAGGGGAGCTCTCCCAGCGCGTGGACGACGTCGGTGAAAGACGGCCGCTCCTTGAGGCCGAGCGCCCAGCAGCGCGCCATCAGTTTGTAGATTTTGGAGGGGCATCCGTCCGGAACAGGAAGCTTCAGTTTCCACGTCTTCAGACCTGAGAGGATCATTTTCACACATTTCAGAACACGACGACTCCACCGACGGGTTTAAACTCAGCCAGCGAGTCCCGCTCACCTTCCAGCACCTCGTCGTCGCTGAGATCGGCGTACGGCATTTCTCCGAGACTGAACACCTCCCACATCAGCACTCCAAAAGCCCACATGTCCGACTTGGTGGAGAAGTCGTCCTCGAACACGGACTCTGTCGGGAGCCAGCGCAGAGGAATCCACGCCTGTCGGTAGTGGAAGTACTCACTGTTTTCACACAAAGAACAAACATCATGAGACTGTAGGGATCGTTCTGATTAAAATCACTCATCACCGAAGGGGGGGGGGCAGTAGTGTTCCTTTGTCATTCTGTTAGCAAAATATCTTTCAGAAAGTAATCAATTTCAAGATGGCTGTCACAACCCACTGACCCTAATAAACACACAAATAAAAGAGGCACAAACTCAAGTCAGATTTTCAGATACCGAGCTAAAATCAGGTGGTAGTAGCCGAGAGTCATCACTAACAGTCGGCTCCTGTAAGTCCGAGGTCATGGTTCTCCACCGTTGCCTCCACTCATGAATAACATGATATGATTTTTATACATCTAGTGTTTGCCGTTAGAAATGATCCGCTGCTTCTCTTTTATGTTTTGTTCTTTTCTATTCTGCTTTAAAAATAAAAGTTTGATAAAATCTAACGTGGTAGTAGCTGAGAGTCATCCTCACCACATGTTTGAAGCACCAACAGATCTGTGCCAAGATTTAACATAACGTCATTCACAAGGTTTGACCGGGACAGCTATAACTCCGTCATGAACTCAAGGATTTTATTTCAACAGCCGCAGATCTTCGGTGGGGGTACCGCAGGGCTCCATTCTTGGACCACTTCTCTTTTCTTTATACCTGCTGCCACTAGGTGCTATTTTATGTAAACACAGCATCCCTTTTCATTTTTATGTCGATGACTGTCAAATTTACTTCCCTCTGAAGCACACTGGTGCACGCTCTATCCACCCTCTTCTTGACTGTCTGGTTGACATCAGGGCTTTCAAGAAGGCTTTAAATTTATTACGTTTCAATGAGAATAAAATAGAAGTCATGTTGTTTCCACCTAATGGCACAATCAAGAACTGATGTATCGACCTTTCCTCTCCTGTTAGAGAAACAAAGAGTCACTAATCTGGGAGTGATAACGAACCCTTCCATGAAGCTAAACAGAAATGTAAACACGATGGTTAAATCCTGTTATTCCAGAGGCGACTGTCTAAACTGAAGCTCATACTGTCCAAAACTATCCTCGAGACAGTAAAACATGCTTCCATAACATTCAAGGTTCTTTATTTGGCATTTGCACCCCATGTGGTACATGTGGTGGAACGAAATTATGTACACGGGGTCCCAGTTACATCCAACAATAATAATAATAACAATCCAAGTTTGAGAACTGCAATGCTCATATTTTTGGAATCAGTCAAACCTCCATTGCTCGATTACAACTGGTTCAAAATGCTGCAGCCCGATTTTTAACTGGTCCACCCTTCACTGGCACCCAGTTCACTTCCCAATTTATTTTAAAATCCTTCTGCATGTTTTTAAATCTCTGAACAGCTCTGCCCCCTCTTATCTCTGATCTGCTGCAGCCATATGTCCCACAGTGCTCTGAGATCCACAGATGTTTTTACTGGTTCCAGACACTTGTTTGAAGCTCAGAGGTGACAGAACCTTCTCTGTTGCAGGTCCAAGACAGTGGAATGAGTTACCACTGCATGTCAGGCAGGCTCCCTCTCTCACTGTTTTTAAGTCTCATTTAAAAACATAATTTTATTCTCTGGCTTTCGATCCACTGCGAGTTGATTTTAACTTCACTGTGTTTTTATAATTTCAGTCATTTGGTTTATTATCTTTACCTCTGTGGATTTATGTATTTCATCCCGTGTTCCCTGCTATTTGTTTTGCTGTGCAGCACTTTGGTTGGTCTTGCTGCTGGTATTGAGTGCTTTATAAATAAAGTGGTATGGTATGAAGGTGGCGGGTGATAGGCATTCCTTCAGAGAAATGCTAGTTCAGTGAGGTGGTTTAGGAGCCGACCTGTTGTAGACGTCCTTGCTGAGACTGAGTGAAGACACTTTGACGCGCCTCTGATTGTTGATCAAACAGTTTCGAGCAGCGAGGTCTTTGTGGACAAAGCGGTAGTTGGACAGGTGCTCCATGCCACGGGCCACCTGGGTGCAGATGGACACCTGGAGGGACAGAGACAGAAGACAATGCAAAGGGACGTTGATAAACTGTATTTTAAATGTAAAGATTTACTGCAAAGGTTTATAAACTGTTATAGGCCACCAGGAGTGCCTCATTTAGGACTTACTTTGGTCTTGGTGCTGATTGGTTGAGATTTGACTTTGTCATCTTTGCTTTTGGAAATTCTCAGGAACTGCTTCAGATCTCCCTGTCGTTCAAAAAAGTCAACGAAAGAGCTTTAAATCAGGAAAAAAACAGATTTAAACGTGACCACATGTTCCTGTAGGATTACCAGGTCGTAGTACTCCAAGATCATGTAGTGTGGCTCCGCCTCCTTGCAGAGGCCCAACAACCGGACCACGTTGGGGTGGCTGAGCTTGGCGAACATCTCAGCTTCGCGGCGGAAGTCGAGCTGAAGCTGCTCGTCTCTGGACTGCAGACTCTTCACCAGCACCACCGTCTCCACATCGCTCTCTTCGATACCCTTCGCTTTGGACAGCAGCACCTCGCCGAACTCCCCTTTACCTAAGCGAACAGTCGCGACGCGCACGTCAGGAGAACCGCTTCCTGTTCCGTCTCTGAACCCCACCCCCCCACCCCCGACAGCAAGTTTGTGAAATCTCACCCAGAGTGGTGATGGTTTGGAGGTTGGCCCGGGGAAAGTGGAGCTTGTCGTTGGCGCTGCTGTGGCGTTTCTCGGCCGTCGTGACGGTGCCCATGTTGGTGAGCGCCACCTCCTCCTGGATCTCGGCTGTGGCGTGGCCATTTTGTTGGACAGCGTCTCCTGAAAAGAACGCATCGGCCGTGAAACACAGAAAACCAGCAAAACGTTTACAACTAATTCTGACAAAGTTTTTATCAGTTTCTACTTGATATCATATTTTTAGGATCCACACGTTTGCTCAAAATCCTATTGTAAAATAAAGTGGGCTTTTATTCATGTCGATACATGGAATTAGCACAAGATGGCAGCAGATACTCTAAACCAATCACAGCACAGGCACCACTCAGGACATTCAGACCGTTCAGATGCTCCATCTCAGGCTCCTCTCCGTCCTGGCCCTTCTGCAGCCTCTTGGCGTTGCGTCTCTTCTTGCAGTAGAACATGAGCCCCAGCACCACGATGATGTAAGCCACAGCCGCCCCCACCGACAGGCCGATGGTCTGGATCATCTTGTAGGGAGCCCGGTCCTCTCCGTCATCAGGAAGGATCTGCGCTGGTTTGTCTAAAAACGGCGCAGGCAGCCAGTTATGGTCAAGTTGACATTTCTGCATGAACTTTAATAAAACGTGCAAATTATTTCAAAGGTGGTGTAAATCTGTGGCGATCAAAATGTCAAGAAAGCTGCTTCAATTATGGGTCGTGCAAAATAAAATTCCTCTGCGTCGCAGACGAAAGGGGTGTTACGATACAAGCAGTCTGGGTTTTGTCACGCGAACCCCGACAAGCTCCAACAAACGTCTGAATTCAATCAGCTTCTTCTCCGAGTCGGAGCGAAGCGCCGTCCTCCCGCCCAGGGACTAAACAGGTTAACGTGGGACGCTGGAGCGAGGCGCCGTGCTTATTTTGATCTTCTGTCAGCAGACAAGCCGCCTCAGAGCGTGAAGCTTTATTACATCCAGCACCTGCCCAATCCCATCAGCCCCGGTGGCGGCGGCAGAATCATGCCCGTGGTTATTAACCTGTCGCCACGGATGACGGACAGAAGGTGTGGAGGTTTAATGAACGCCTTCGTTCTCCTTCATGTGTGCAGCCTTTGTTCCCGATGAAGAAAACCTGCGTGTTGTGAGAACACGAGCTAAACTCACCCACGACGTACAGCTGAGCCACTCGGTCTTTGATGCTGCAGCTGTTTCCGGCCACACACGTGTAGCGACCCGTGTCGTCTGTGGTGACATCGGTGATGATCAAAGAGCCGTTCGGCATCTTCTGGAAACTGGAGGCAAACAGACGACGGGAGAAAAACGACCAAAGTTAAAATAAATAAATACGTTTTCCTGTTTCGGTTTTAGAAATCAAACTACTTCTGCAAACTTTCTGCTTTTTTTTTTTTCCGCGCGTAAAAAATTTACCGCGTTTTAAAAGGATGACTGATGGTCTTTGTAGTTTTTTTTTTTTACTTTTCAAAATATTTAAATTTCTAAAAGTTTAATATTTTGAAAAGTAAAAAAAAGAAGACGTTATTCTTAGAATTTGATTTGGCACATTGGCTCCATTTTTGTATTGTTATGCTACGTTTAGCTTTCAGCTAAACTTTTGTTGCTTTTAGCTAAAGTTTTGCTACTTTAGCCTTTTGTTATTTTTTGTTTTTTGCCATCACTCTGCTACTGTTAGCTTTTAAGTAGTATTTTACCACTTTTGCTTTTAGCTAGCCATTTGTAGCTTTTTGTTAGCATAGTGTTTTGTTACTTTTGATTTTTAGCTAGCATTTTGCTATTTTCCGTTTTTACCTACTTTATAGATAATTTTAGCTAACCATTTATTGCTCGATGATAGCATCTTGCCACTTTTGACTTTTAGCTAACCATTTGCTACTTTTTGCTAGCATTTACTAATTTGTGCTTTAGGCTAGTTGGTTTTGTTTTTAGCTATTATTTGTCAACATTTGGCTTTTAAGAACTAATTTGCTACAATTGTTTTTCAGCTAACCTTTTGCTACTTTCGGCTTTTAGCTAGCCTTCAGATAATTTTAGCTTTTAGCTCTCCATTCATTGCTTTTTGTTAGCATTTTGCTACGTTTGGCCTTTTACCTAACTTTTTGCAGCTTTTAGCTTTTCTTTTGTTACTTTTGACAAATCCAGCTAAAAAAGTTAAAAGTAACTAAAGGCTAGCTAAAAGCAGCAAAGAGTTTAATTTAAAAAAAATGTTAGCTTTTAACTAAAATTATTATCAGTACAAGTAGTATTAGCAGCAGTACTCACATTAGCAGTAGTACTGGCATTAACAGCAGTAACATTAGCATTTGCAGTAGTAGTACTAGTATGAAGTGGATTCCAAAGAGAACAAAGGTTTTGGAGGATTTGAAGGGACTCTAATATACAGTATATTAACAGGAAAAGTTTTTGTAAAAAAAGTTGTATGTTTAAAAGTTAGCAGTTAGGTTCCAAAAACATACAGAAAAATTAAAAACAGGAAAATAATGAACATTAAGAATAATTTGCATCAGCTACAGCTGCTCAGCCATTCCATCATGAGAGCAGAGAGAACGTACATGGAGCCTGTAGAGACTACAAACGTGGGCGTCTTGCTTACCTCCTCTTCTTTCGGGTGTCCAGCGCCTTGTCTTTAACCATCCAGTGGATGTGAGGCTCGGGGTCGCCGGTGGCCTGGCAGTGCAGCACGGCTGTGTGGCCCTGGTACACGGTCGTGTTTTCCGGCTCCACCTTGAAGCGAATGTACACTGCACGAATACAAACGGAAAACAAAACGGAACAAGAGCTCAGGTTTGGAAGACAGCAGCTGAAGTCCAACACTTTGTTTAGAGGCCGAGAGTTTGCAATACAACAGTCACCGAGTGCAAAATAAAAGTAACCTAACGAGAACGATCAATGTCGGTCTCGGTATAAAACTACTCTCAGACGAGAAGTTCTGTGGCACGCCTGTTTATCATTACTTCCTGTCTCCAGAATGACAGCCGAGAGTTTACCGGCCACAGTGAGGGACACCAGGGCTCGGATCTCCCCCTGCAGGCGGTTGGAGGCGATGCAGGTGTAGTTGCCAGCGTCGCTGCGGGTGACTTTGGTGAAATGAAGCTGGCCGTTCCTCTGCTCCACGTGGGGGGGTAGTTCTCCTCCATCTGAGGGGGGAGATACGACACATGGTTATTTATAAAAACGAGTTTAAAGACCCTGCATTCCTTGAAGGACAGGAGTTGTCACCATTTTGGTCAAACTTTACAAACGCCAACATCGTGTAAAATCTCACGCAGTGATCGGTGTGTCGAGGATGACGCTCAGCTACTACCACAGTAAAGGTTCGCTCAACATCTGTTAAACTGAGTTACAGCTACATTTGTGTTTGATGAGTTCACTTAGCTATGGCAGCCATCTTGAACTGGGTTGACCTCAAAATTAATCAGTTG